TGTCAAATAATATCTTGAAAAGCAACAAAATAGATTGCTTAAGTTAAAAAAATTATCAATTTGTAGCAGATAAAAAAGAAAAGTAGGATGTTATATAACAAAAGTTAATATTAAATGAACTAACCAAAAGATTTGACTCCATGAGTTGTTCGAAAACGATTGTATTGAAGTCAACAAAATCAAAGCCGTGTGCAGATCCAGAAAAATTTTCACACTCTTTCACAGTTGTATCGTGGTAAAAGTTAAGTTTTCTTTCTGGATCAGCAAACTTAAAATTTAAAGTATTTGGTGCGACATTAGGTTTCTTCACATATATCGAAATATCTTCTTTAAGATAGCGTTTGAATTTTGGAAACCATTTTTTCACACAAGATGCATGAATTTTCCTTCCCTAAAAAATAAACAAATAACAAATAATTATATATAATTGTTTATAAATATATACAAATTTTTACAAAAATAATAATTGAATATATACATCATATACCTCCTCATCCATCAAAATCATTTCTATCGAGTATGTTTCTTTTGCATTAAATTTTGACTTTTGAGTCCAAAGATGTATGATTCGAACTTTAATTGTGAAATCATCCTTAATTGAGTCAATTTCCTTTATAGGAGTAATATGTTCCATTGTACCTTGCAATTAAAAAATAATTGTTTTGTTAACAAAAATGTTAAAATATAAAAAGAAAAATCAAAAGCCATTGATTTATTTATTTATTTATTTGTCTTAATTGTTAATTGGCATTTATCAAAACATTTTCAAGTTAGGGGCAATATGGTCGTTTTGGAGTAAACGAAGTGGAAAAGGGTAACATGACAGTTATAAAAAATAAAAAACTATATCATAGACTATAGTAGAAGTTGGGTTCGCATATGAAAACAGATAAGTTTTGATTTTGGATTCGCAATTGGGTTAATTGGGTTGATGATTGAGGGACGATTCGTGAAGAAAAATGCGGTGTCAAGAAGGACTGTGAAATGTGATTTGTTCAATATTGGAGTCAAATGCAGTTCACGTGTAAAAGCAAAAATGTTCGCATTTGGTAATACAAATCAAAATTGGGTTTCGCATATGAGGTTGTATGGATTGGGGTTAAAGATGCAAAGGTGATTATGGTTAATATTCATTTCGCATTTGGTGTGACAAACAACTCAAATGCGAATGAACTAAAAAAGAAAAAAAAAAAAAAAAAAAAAAAAAGCCTGGAACATGCGAAGAAAGAGGGTGAATGAAGAATGCGAATTGGGGAAGAAAGCTAAGAATTTCGCATTTGGTCCCTGCTCTTTTCAAGAAATAATAGAAGTGGTCCAACTTCTCAAATGGGGTCATAAAATGATGAAATTGCAGAGGTGTGCTTTGAGAGATGTAGAAGTGAGTGTGTAAGTGTGTGTTAATTATGTAGTCTAGATCTAGATCCTTTTTGTGTAACACCATATACATTCAATATATCTCTTAAACACCCAAATCATCATGTTCAATTGTGCAAGCTTTAATTCCGCATGCCAAACCATGTTCTTATTGATTTCCTTTTTGATTTTTTGTGTCGTTTTATAATTTTTCATTTATTTTTTATTTTTTGTTTACTATTGAAAGAGCAATACTTTTGGCTAGTAACAAAAGTTGGTGATGTTAAGGTTAGTAGCATAAAACAATATTTATTATTTGGTGATGTTAAGGTTAGTAGCATAAAACAATATTTATTATTTCATTTTTACTGTCAGTATGAAAAAAAAAAACAATATAAATGAAGCCAATGAACATATTTTGAGTTTTCTTTCTACCTAGGACATGCTAGAAAACAAAAAAATAGAATAAGTTAGCATAAAAGCTAAAGTATGTTGGTATCCTTCTAATATGCAATAAGAACATAAAAGAGAATGAAACAGACTTTCTGCAAATAATATGCAGTATATAATTAATACGAATTGACAATTTTTAGATCTTTATGCACATTTTATTATTCACAATACATAAGTAGCAGATTTTATTATTCAGAATACATAAATAGCAATATACATTAAGTTTTTTGTTTTTAAATTAAGGGCATTATGGTATTTTCTATAGTAAATGAAGTTGATAATTAGGTCACATTATGGTTTAATTATCGTTTAAAAATCTGTATAATAGTTGTGAGGTTTAGAAAGTATAGTTATATATAACATATGTATAAAGCATTGAAAGTAAAATAATATAATGAGAAAAAAAAAAATCGAAATCTATATCATAGACTATAACAGAAGTTTTATTATTCAGAATACATAAAAAGAAAAAACCAAATAGTATTTTACTAATTCTATTTGTTGTATTTGATACTATAATTATAGAGAAACAGGAATGCAGGGGAAAGAGTAAAATAGTAAAATATATATAGAAGCAGAAATTATATAACATAGAAAGACAGAATGAATATACGTAAGAAAGGTAAACCTGGTTGATTATGCAGTCCAGAAAAAGAAGGCGATTGGTATACGATCGATATATGAAGAATAAAAACAAAACAAATGAGTATAAGATCGATGAGTATAAGATCGATATATGAAGAACAAAATCAAAACAATGTAGTATCCCTTACCAGACGATGAATAATCGACTTATTCGTACTGAAAGAGGAACGTAAAGAGGAACATAGGTGTTTGTGTATATACATATATTTAAATTCAAATTAGAAAGACTTTGCCTGATTTTTTGGGATTGTTATTCGATTGACTGATTATTTGGGATAGAGATAAAGTTTAGCTCATATTTTATTCCTAATTTGTTGCAGATTAATATGGTATAATTGATAATTAGAATTTTGAAAATCAAATTTTCTGTTTTTGGCGGATTTGCAGTATTGTTTCAACGGAAGGGCAAAGTGGTAATTTCAGTTAACACTATTGAGTGGGAAAATGAATGGAGTTGGATGCAAGGAGGTTACACGTGGTTGTATAGGTACTGTTTTATTAGTAGAGATATATATATATATATATATATATATATATATATATATATATATATATATATATATGACGGTGGTAAATTATGTTTTATAAATCAAAATAAATAGTTAAATAAAAGGCTATTTATTATTTATTGAATAAAAACAAAATAAAAATAGATAGTTTATTTTTAGAAGCAATTAATTAATCGAGATAATCAATTAGAGGTAATGATCTACTTCCCTTCACCGCCCTTTTTTTCTCCCTATTGGTTGATTGTCGACCACAGGGCAACAAAAGAAGGCATCATCTCTTACTAGCTAAGTGTAGACACCAATAGAGGTGATATGTTTGATTATAGTTTCTTACACCAAATGAACCCTACAATATGAGGTAATGGTTTGTAAGGTTATCCGTTATACCCACCACATACCATATATGTGGTGGGTGCCACATCAACACCACATTTCACTACCACTAACATGGGATACTTAGCACTAAACACACCACTCCACCTCATTTTTTTATTTAAATTTAATTCAAAAATACATTAAAAACATTTTTTTAATACTAGTTTTTCCATTAAATTAAAATACCAAATTACATTAAATAAAAAGTAAAGTAATTGAAATTAAAAAAATAAAATAAAAATAACAATCAAAATAAAAATTACATTAGTTAAATTTAAAAAAAAAAAAAAAAAAAAAAAAAAAAAAAAAAAAACATTAAAAAAAACTAAAAATTCTAACCATACATAAAATAAACTACCCCCTATGCCTACGTCGGGCTCGAACCGACTCTTTCATTGCTTGGAAAAGTTCCAAGTCTTCGCCCTCAAGGTCGTCCGCTTTCATTTTCAAGATTTCCATATCGGTTTTTGTTTGGAGTGTCTCTTGTGCCTCTTAAAATGATGTTTGTGCTTCGATCATTTTTTGTTCCATCCGAGTCATCACCTCGGCCTTCGTTTCTTGAAGTTGCACATATCGATCAAATTTATCACCGAACATATCCATAACACTAGAATTCGAAGATGTTGACGTCGCTTTTTTTGCTTTATTTCTTCCAATGGGCCGACGAAGAGGTTGGTCATTTTCAAGATCTATCGGATTGTCGTTGATGTCGATGTGTGTTCGGCCGTCCGATTGTTGAGAAGTTCCATCGGGGTTTCTCGAACGCTTTGAACCGGAAGATTGGGAACTTCCTTCCGTTTGCTCTTTCCATTTTGGGGAGTCTTTCAATTTTAGCCACGGTTTCATATACGGAAAAGCTTTGCGTGTAGGCGTTGTTTTTTCATATTGGTCCATGGCCGCCTTGAATACATCAAAATCGTTCGAGCCGTTTTTTGCGTATGTTTAGGAGATTGTTGTAGATTCCTCCAAAATCGGTGCATTTTAGTCGAATATATCGCCATTTCGACGTAATTTGATCAGCATTTCGAGTTTGACTTTCCATTAACTCATAAAAAATGGCTCGGACTTTTTCCCAAAAACTTCCGTAAGTCTGGCTATCTCCTACAATTGGATCTTCGGAAGCCGCCACCCATGCCTCCGCTAACTTTCCTTCTTCTTCTTTTGTCCATGGGACCCTTTCTTGGTTGGTAGTGGGTCGGGCCGTTTTTTTTCCTTTTTTTCTTTTTTGGTTGAGGTGGTGGTGAAGGTTGCGTTTCCGGAACAAAATCCGGCGAAAGTGGTGGTTGTGAGCTTGGTGGTTGTGAAATTGGTGGTTGTTGTTGTTGTGACGATTGTTGTTGGAGTTGTTGTAGTTGTTGGAATTATTGAAATTGTTGGTATTGTTGTTGCATTTGTTGTTGTTGGAAAGCCGGAAAAGGTTGATATTGTTGTTGGAAAAGTGGTGTTTGTTGGATAGGGGAACCACTTTGAAGTAGATTGATAAAACCGCCTTGAGGTGACTCCATAGTCGGGAATTATCGAGGTGTTGTATCTAACGCAAAAGCGTTATCGGGTTTGCGATTTCGGTAGTTTGGAGGGGTATTTTGGTTGGGATCCATGAATTTTGGTTGTGAAGATGTAGTGTGTAGTTTGTGTATAGAGATAGAAAAGAATGGTGTAAAAAATAAGGAGTAAAAATATGGTATTTATAGGTAATTTTTTTTTTTTAATTTTTTAATTTTTTATAAATCTAGCCGTTCAACAACGGCTACACAAACTAAACAAACGGTCGAATTCTTTGCATCGGAGCTCATTGGTCGTTTACGTCCATTGTCCGGGACACGGAAGGCCACGACCACGACCCACCACGAACCACCGGGGTGGTGTGCACGGCCGTGGTTCGTGGCCCACTAGACCACGGTCCAGCTCGTGCTACCGGTTAGTCTAAACATTATATAGTTGTTGTAGATAGTAATTAATCTAATCTATTTGAGATTAGGCTTTTGGAATAAAGTTGTAATATTGATATGATATTTCTGTTGCGTTCTTGTTTTTATATTAAACTGTTTCTATAAAAAAAAGTATTGATTTTAATAGTGGTATCATAGACTCTTTCAAATATGTTAATTGCCTGATGAACCTTTTGTTTTGCTTTATTTTTTTCAATTTGATGAATTCGATCAAAAAAACGAAAAACTAAAACCTACTAACATTTTGGATATTTAACCTTTTTGTGGTTTATATTCTACTATTTTCTTTTACTATTGATGATTATAAAATCCATGCCTAAATTTTAGAACGCAAACCATAAAACGTATTT